CCACCCACCCAAGAATCGTCCCCACGAGACCCCCTTGCGCAATAATAGACTCGTTTCCTCCGGAACAACAATATTAACCCGCAATAATGTTTAGCACCCGTAGCGCCGCGGAAAATACGCGAGGGTCATTGTTATATCTTTGTATGAACATTTAATACGCAATAAATATGTATATCGTCATCTCACTATACGACACCTGTGCGGTGCGCATTCCTCCTGCCGTCTCCTGCCGTTTATTCGCTCATAGCTATTTTATCCCGTTCCGTCAGCGAGCGAGCGTTTTTATCGTTGATAAATAATCCCATTACCGCGCATTACCATTGTTAATCGCACGCTTTTCAAACGCCACGTTTGACGCCCGGTTCTTGTAACGAAGTAGCAATTCCACGCTTAATTTGTTTTTCCTACTACATGATGGACACAATGACATATACAGGATGAACAAAGCTCTCGTGGAGGCATAGTAAGAGATTGAAAACAAAAGTTCGATATCGTTTTGTGATATTCACAATAATTATCGAGATATTAATGAAGAAAGATTTGTGAATGATCACGCGAGATCATTCGTATGGTAGATGAGCTGTAGTAGCGACGTTTGCCATCGTGTGCTTGTATATTAGGTCAAACTGAACAAAAAAGTCCTATACTGTTTCCCTAATAACTTTGTACATTTTTAGTTATTGATTTAAAAAATTGACGGATGGTGCTCGCGACAATATATATTAATAAGAGAAAGAAAATAAGAACTCAATAACAATGATATCAATTAAATAATAGGAAAAAGGGCTAATTCGAGTTTAAGCACAGGATTAATAGTGCTATGTACCATATGGGTAAAATCTTCCTTGTGTTAGGAAATAGAGCAATATTTATTGAACATGAATACTCAATATAAATAATCAAACGTTTCGGCTCAATCATGAATCCTCTTCAGTGATATAAAAAAATTCAAGGTTTACAAAACGAACGCATTACAAGTAAAAGAATTAATTAAAGACCTTAATAAAATGACATGAATGTTATTCGCAATATTATAGCTGACAAGACCGTTATCCGACTAATATTAAGAAGTTCAAATTAATACTAGGAAGTAGCCGTCATAACTATAAAAAAACCATAAAATAAAATAAAAATAGGTAAAATTAAAATATAATAAATAATTAAAACAGTCAATATAAATTACTTTTGTTGAGCTCGGCTAAAAGTGAAACGATCCTGTCAACGATAACATCGCCATTTCTATGTAAAAGAGATAATAACAGATTTATATACACGAGCATTAACATTGCAGCGACGACTCTTGGAAGAGAAGGAAACAAACAAAATTTTATTTTTATAATAAGCCGCAGTAGCTGTTGCCCAAATATTCTGTGTTTGAGAGTTAAGTACATGCTTTTGAAATTTAATGTAAATCATTTCTGATATCAGGTGTTTCAAGTAATAACGTTCCTCATGCAAAACTTTGGCTTGATCCCAATTGAAATCATGGTTTTTTCTCAAACGGTGTTCTTGTATGGCCGTTAACTCAACTGTAGAACTTTTTGGTATTCTCCTATGCTCAGCAATGCGCGTAGAGAGTCTTCTACTAGTTTGAGCAACATACGACGCCTCACAACTACTGCATTGCAATTTATACACAACCATTATTATGGAAACCAGGAGGCAACCTGTCTTTATGCACACAAATGATTCCTGATAATTTACTATTGCAAGAATAAGCAATATTTGTCAAATTATTTTTAAAAAGCTTTGCCAGTCTGTTCGAAACCACACCAAAAAACGGTATGGTAAAATATTTTTTATTATAACCAGATGCTGTCAAATTTGTTTTAACTATCTCTGAACCTCGCCCGCAATTCACAATAAGAAACCTCAGTCTACGTTTTATAATTTTAAAAATTAGATCCAAAAGTTAATTATTATTAATTAGCGTCAAAATGATAAAGTCTAAATTATTCTTATGGAATGTCGGATGACTTAGATAAAATATCCTATCCACCAAGCCATTAATTGTTCCGATCTTGTGTTGAATAGGATGAAAAAACAAATAGTTTAGATACCGACCAAAAAACGTTGGTTCATGATACCAGTCGAAAATAATTGTTATTACGTATTAAAAGAGTAGTGTCTAAAAAGTTAATACTGTCATCTCCTATTTCAATTTTTCAAAAGGACACAGAACATTTGGGCAACAGCTACTGCGGCTTATTATGAAAATAAAACTTTGTTTGTTTTCTTCTCTTCCAAGAGTCGTCGCCGCAATGTTAATGCTCGTGTATATAAATCTGTTATTATCTCTTTTACTTAGACGTGGCGATGTTATCGTTGACAGAATCGTTTCACTTTTAGCCGAGCTCAACAAAGGTAATTTATATTGACCGTTTTAATTATTTATTATATTTTAATCTTACCTATTTTTATTTTATTTTATGATTTTTTTATAGTTATGACGGCTACTTCCTAGTATTAATTTGAACTTCTTAATATTAGTCGGGTAACGGTCTTGTCAGCTATAATACTGCGAATAACATTCATGTCATTTTATTAAGGTCTTTAATTAATTCTTTTACTTGTAATACGTTCGTTTTGTAAACCTTGAGTTTTTTTATATCACTGAAGAGGGTTCATGATTGAGCCGAAACGTTTGATTATTTATATTGAGTATTCATGTTTAATAAATATTGCTCTATTTTCTAACACAAGGAAGGTTTTATCCATATGGTACATAGCACTATTAATCCTGTGCTTAAACTCGAATTAGCCCTTTTTCCTATTATTTAATATATATTAATGTTCTCTAATTAATAACTAAAAATCTATAGAGTTATTAGGAAAAAGATATAGAACTTTTTGGTTCAGTTTGACCTAATGTACAAGCACATGACGACAGATGTTGCCACTATATCTTATTTAGCATATCTCGCGTGATCACAAATCTTCTTTAATTAATATCTCGATAATTATTGTGAAATAATTATCAAAATAAATATTGCAAAACGGTATTGGACTTACTGTGTCTCCACGAGAACTGCAGAGGTTGTTCTGGAATACCTTGTATATACTAAGTCTACTATATATTGTATAGAGGTTGTTCTGGAATACCTTGTATATACTAGGTCTACTATATATTCTATAGACTAGACATTCTTTCCACAGAGTGAAGTTGGCATTGGCAGTTTGAAGCAGAATGAGATAGGTCTTTTCGGAGCTGTTTCTTTCTTGTACTAGCTTATCTCTCTCCTCGACTGTCAAGAGTCGATATTCTGACATGGCTCCTGTCTCGCATTGTCCATCTCTTTTTGAAGACGTCAGAAGCGAAGAAACGCGTGTTAAACATTTTTGCAAAATGTGTAGTAATTAAAGGATCTATTCATAAAGCCTACAATCGGTCGAGTAGACATAAAATATGACATAACATGTGACATAATTGTATATTTTTAATTTATCTCTTCGCATAATTCTGTTATATTATTTTTTGATACATTATTGATTGTTAGAGCAAAAAAGTTGTGTTTCGGATTTTATAGATTAAAAGAAAAAATAATGCGAGGACACAGAAGCCATAACGTTATCTTTTTGCTGTTAAAAACAAAATAAAAAAAGATACTGTTAAGAATATTAAAAGAGAGTTTTTATTGCGTTTGTGACGTGATGGATGTCAGATGGGATTAGTTTTTGCAAGTACAAAAACGAATAGTATCATATATTAATGTACTGCAATTGCAAAAATTCATTATTAGCCAAATTCAATACTAAATTCATAGCACAAGTTCATTTAAAAAACAATGTATTTATTTCTGCAACAGTCTTTACGATATTAATCTATGCGGATTTTATTAAAATTATTACAAAGATCCGTAGTATCTAAATCTTTTTTAATTGGTGATTAGAATTTAACGAAACCTTTTGCTCATGTATAAAAAATATAGAAAAAATAATGAAATTATTTTTTTAAATTTTTCTTATATATTATATTTTAATAAATATAATAATTATTAATAATAATTATTAATAATAATTACATAATAATAATTTTATATATTATATTTTATAAAAATATCGAAATATAACGAAAAATTGTTTTTGCATTTTGACATGTTAATCTGATACCAAGTAAAGTTAAAAACGACCTCATGCTGCTTTTTGCCTTTTTGTCATATAACAAACAGTTAAAATAGCTCAACAGTGTTTAAACTTCATATTCCCACCAAGCATTATAAGCATTCAAGTCGAAAATTCTTATTCCACTAATTTGCGGGTAATTTAGAATTAAAAGTCAGGTGGGATCGAAAATAATCACCGAATGCCGAATTACGGTTAATATGTCGGGATATCGGCTTTTAACAGTCACTTTAAGCTAGAGTGAAAAAGGAGAACAATCTCAAAACACCTTTTGCTCTGTCTCAAACTGCCAACTTTATTTTCAGCTATAGAAAGTTCAGCTATAAAAATATTCAAATATTTCTTCTATGTATATATGTCGTTGGTGGACACACGCTGACACATATCGTTAATTATCTTATAAAAAGATAAGATCGCGAATGAAATGAGACGAGTCAAGAGATCACATCATCGCAAACCTCTGTCACCTCCCTATCTCCGTTAGTTTCCCTTCTCGTTTTTCGTGAGCAGATCACGTGCTTGCGCATCGACACGTCATTCCGACACGTGCCGAGCTATCAGCCGCGAATCCCGATGGCAGTCGCTCGGCCGCGCGTTGCGCGCGCAAGCTGGCAACAGGTAAACCGCAGGTAAGGAGGAAAAAAAGGGAACGGGACGAGCAGACGGACGTAGCGGCGGTAGTGGAGTAGGTGAGCTCTCGAGAGTGCACAGAGGCAGAGACAGGTGCGTCGATTGCTGAGAAAGAGAGTGAGAGAGAGGGGGGGGGGGTCTTCC